ATAGGCATCAATCCGTTCATTGAGTTTTTTCTATTAAAGTGTTTAAGCATCATATTTGACAGTTAACTTCACTATATAATCAGTGTAATTAGAATCAGTTTGAATATTTTAAAACTAAATGTTGAAAATATATATTTCATCATTTCTATTAATATAAATATTAACTCAGATCTGTGATCTTTAATGAAGTGTCGCAATGAAGTATCTTTGCAAAGTACACAGCTTCAGATTTGATTACATATAATAACAAATCTTTCTTTGATTAAATTTCAATTTATTTTTGTGCATCAACAAACACTGATATAGTAAACTGATCAATTATCAATAATTAAATAATAATACCTCACATAATTTATGTAATTAATTTTTTTGTTTAAAATAAAATTAAAAATTCTTAATGACTAGCATGGCATAGCATCACATTGAAAGGCAATAAGCTATTCCTACAAACAGGTTTTAGTATTGTACATTTCTTTTCTCAGAAAAAACAAAAATTACACATTTTTCCCTTCTCGAGCCACGATCAATAAAACTTAATAAATGGAGTCTAGAATCATAATTCTAGAGGTCTTTCTTTACGTTATTGATCACTTTGCACTGAGATTATATAGCATTTCTTTTAACTCCTATTGCACAATTTCAAATAAGGTTACTGCAGCAAAGACGAGAAATAGAACACCTCCGATGTAGGAAATAACCTTCAAAATGATTGAAACATTGTTTTTAGTTTACAGCAGCATAAAGATATGAGAAACCCACACTTTTTGTGGCACTCATTATATTGACTAAAATTTATTGAGAACTATATAAACAGAAGATACAATCAGGAATACGATTCACTTACCAAAATATGTGATTTTCAGTAGTATTTATGCTAATAATAGATAGCATGTTTAAAAATGCTTACTGGAAATTGTGTTGTAGTATTTTCTAATGGAAATATTCCGAAACAGAAACACAACTTTAGGTCACGGCTTCATTTGAGGTGCATTATCGAAGTGCGTGTTAGAAAACAACATCATTTTTCTTAGACTTAAACAAGATGCTCGTTGATCTTTATTACCAACGGGGAGGGGGAGACTACAGTTTGCTATGTTATCTAGGTGAATGAACATGTTCGTTCCCAGTAAGGTTCGAGGATCATCTAACATTTTGCTACGATTCAGAGCGCTCATATATTTTTATGATGGAGTAGGGGAATTCCAGGGCAGAAAATTAGCAACAGAAGATCTCCATGAACCAGATTCTATAACTAGCAATAACTTAATAAGTAAAGCATTTGAAAGATCATGACTCATGTGATTAATTATCTACTTCAGATGATAGCATGTGTAGAGAATTCCACATTTATAAAATCTGATTCTCTTGCTTAACGGGGAGAACCGAGTTTAGAACCAACTAAATGCAGAATATCAGGAATGCAAGCTATAAACAAGAAGTTACCTTCTCTGATAAATACGTCCCAAGTAAAGAGCCCCCGAGTACAGCTAGCTGCGTATAGAAGGAAAAATTGAGGCTGTAAGAGCCTAAAGTTATTTACAAAGATGTAAAAAAAGGAAAAGACAGTCTGAAGCAATATAAATTACATGAATTAGACCCTTCCAAAATATTCAAGTTCTTCTCCAGATAGCATAGCCTTATTTCTGGTGCTATTTTTACGAACTGTTATTATTTATTAATTTTGAGCTTGTTGTGAGTATTAAATATAGATTATGAAGGAAACAGAAATATAGCTTATTTGTGTCTTATCTGTTTTTAAACGATGGAGAAAGATGCTCTAAAAGAAATTGCCAAAAAGAGCCTTCTGTAACACACAAGGAGGATGAGGTGGAAAATAGAAACGTGGAATCAGGGTTTGTTGCAATAGAAGAGTGGATGGCAGCAGATCCTTTTCTCACGGGATAGAGGAAAACAAAAAGAATTGGAAAGAGAAACACTTATTTACGAGACTTTGTGGAATGACGAAGGCATGCATGTGGGTATGAACTTTCTTGCTGATAGATTTTCTCTGCTCTGCTTCTTCTCTCTGGAATTCCATTCTTACTTTCTCTTATTAATCACATTCAGATGTGGCATATTGGTACAGCTACTGGAGTTGGACGTCATTTATAGCAATTTCTTTTAATTGTATTTTGCATTGTTGTTTTTACTGTACAAACTTATTGGAGGAAAGAGTGATTGTTCTTCATCACTATTATAATAATACAGAGGAACTACTGTTATATTGGCTATTGTGTGTTAGTCAAATTGTTTCCAGATTCAGCCCTGTTTCACCTTCTCAAAGTGTCTGTTTAAATTATCCTTGTATTTCCTCACTGTTAATACATTCCTTTTCTTTGTTGCACTTCAGTTGGAGATTTGGGCGAATCCAGTTTTCACGTACCATTGCAGAAGCTTAAATTAAATATTTTATGTTTATGTTAAACAATGCACATTTACAGTGAACTAAAAAAGGAAATTCCCATATTTAGCAGTTGCTTCAATTTATAACTGAAGAAGGGGTTACCAAAGTTGCAACACCATGACCCGCCAGTGCTCCAGCTATGACTCCAAGTGGAGAAGAAGCTGCTGCAAGGGCTGAAAAGTAGGGACAAAAACAATTCAGGTTCTCTGAAGTTGAGTTCAGTGCATGACGAGATGCAAGACAACATGTATGGGTATTTCAAACAAATGAAAATTCAACAAGAAAATTATATTAACTGAAATTGGGCTGATCCAAAATAATTGACATCCAACTTTTTGCGGACAAAGCATATAAGTTAGCTTCAAGAGTTGTCAATATCAATATTTATTTATTTGTACATCAGTTTGTTTAATAGGGATTTCAGATCAAGATTTTTGTCTCCTATACTTTCAAACCAAAAGGAATGTTAAAATCATAAAATTTTGATATTAATAATGACAAAAACGATAGTTCTAGGTATAAGTGTTCCATATATACTTTCAAACCAATAATGCTAACGTTAGAACTCACCAATTGTGGAAAAAAATGACTTATCACCCCATTCGGCGACAAAAACTAAGAGAAAAGTACTGGCAGCTGTGCTAGCAGCAGATAGTATTCCAGCACCATTTCCAGAAAATTCAGAAACTGCTAGTTCTGCCTGGTTAACAAATGCAAACATTAAATTGCTTGAACCCAGTAAAATAATAAAATATTGTGAACCCCAACCATTGTGAAAAAGTTCAAACCGAAGAGTAAAAACTGCGAGAATTCATGCATCCAACCCATTGTGTTAGGAGAAGAAACCTATCACATTGTGCTGCAATAGGTGATAAATAGATATCAAATATTACCTCCTTCTGCTCTTCATCTGATTTTTGGCCATCACTAGATGAGGCATCCAGCAGGGTAGAGACCCCAAAGTACACCTGAAGTCAATTCAGTATTACTTAAGAGAGGGTTAATCTAAAATCACTCTGTCAGCGCATAACTAAACAGGAAGGTGATATTTACCAATAGGCAAACAGCAGCAATATCATCAATAGGTAAATCTGTTTCTCCAAACCTGCACAAAGCAACCCATGAGGTGAAGTTTTTGAAAAGTCGTTCATAGTCAAATTATGCCTTAACGTTACATGGTTTAAGACACAAGCCCAAAGGAAGGCACAGAAGACAAGTATAGATATTTTTATAAACCAAGGAACTTTCAACAAACTAAAGACATGTATGCATGTCAAAGTAATAAATTTTTTGCAAAAGGTTCTTACAAGATGACAGAGTGGCATTATATTATGATAAAAACTGATTCATGATTGACAAAAGGTTCTTACAAGATGAAAAACAACAATGTGAATTATTTTCAGACCGTAACATGTACAATGTTCATCATCAACAACATGAAACTTCGCATGGAACTATAATTTATTATTTGTAGAATGTGAAGAATGAGTAGGGCTATTTTCACTATTCCAGTATGACCAAGTCACATAACTTATTTTATAGTTACAGTTCATAAATATTTCTACGAAATAAAGAAAATAACCTGAATGGCAAGATTTCATCAACATAATGAAAAGTTCTCCCAAGGACAACAGAGATCAGAGTCATTGCCCTGTCAATAGCAAATAAATACTAAACATCAATAATTTGAAGACACGTGCATCATCTAGAATATTTGGCCTTTATAAAAGTGTCACTCTGTACTTTTTTATGCGATTATTTGACTTCTAGACAGAAACATAAGCTTGAAGAATTCTGTACAAATACACCACTTCGCCTTCCCATTCCAGAAGGTATATGAAGAAATCCATTAAAGTCTTCTAATATTGTTCACAAGCCAACTCCCTGCAGGATTTTGATTGTTCTATGATGTGAAAATATTTTCACCAGTGTTTACGTGGACGTGCATGCATGGCGACTAATAATAAAACAGTTTAATTAGAAAGTGTCGGCAGTGTAAAATCTAATCACAAATTAACAGATTGACTTCTAACAAAATTAATTAACAAGTCATGTTGATATTTTATTAGTTGATAAAAAAGTATTGATATGTACAAAAACTAAACTGTCCAAAAAACGCAATCAATCAAGACAAAAATAAACAAGAAAATCTAAATCACCATGAAACGATAAAACATACGCAAGTGCGCTAAACGTCCCAATAAAAACAACACCAGCTGTATTCCTAGCTGCAAGCAGGGCCTGCATACAAATTACAACATCAAATTCCCAAATCCCCGGGGTCGGGTCGTATCGTTGACGATTTCTGTGCACTTACTGCAATGAAAAAGGTCTTATCTCCCAGTTCAGAGAAAAATATCAGCAGAAACGCCTGTGACAAGGCATAAAAGAATAAAAAGTATATTAGTCTTTGAGCAACATAATCCAAGTGAACGTGATCATTTTACTTAAAATGGTGAAAAAAAA